CTTAGGTTTACTTAGGAGAAAATCATCTACTACACATTCTGGACTGAGATATATTACAACTAATTCAATATCTTGCCATCTATATTTCAGCTTGCATCGCACCAGATCACATGTTTCTGAAACACGTGTCACCGACCCAACTGCTCTTATGGTTAAGGTGCTTTTCGTGTACAGGACAATCCTGCCTCCCCTACAGTTTACTCTGTCAACCCTAATGGATAAAAAACCAACCAACTGAATTTCATTATCTAATACTTCTGACGTTAACCAAGTTTCTGACACAGCCATAACATCCAGTCTTTCTTTATCCACCATTTTTTTAGTAGGCTATGAGCATTTGTGTAGCATATCTTTGAGTCTGTGGAGAACTTTCCCTTACCATCCAGAGTAGCTTCGAGGTCGTTTTGCTCCAAACTTTTACCATTTAAAAACCCTCAAGAACGAGGTTTTCTTCACTGTTTCGGCGGCGTTCGTTTATTTCTACTTCTGCAGCTCGTCTCTTAATACGATCAGCTAGGGTGAGATCCTCATGGACGTATATTCCGGATCCAATCAGTTTACGTGAGTTGTCTAGAATCAGATTCCTTTCTCCAATTGTGGCAAATGTAACCTTCGAAAGGTGACTTTCCTGAGAACTTTCATAATCCACTTTTGTCCTATTCTATAAAGCTTACAGATGCTAACTATGATTCACCAGCTCTTTTTTCTTTTTCTTCTTTTATTAATAATATGCTCAGGTTCCTACCTTGAGTTATCAGTGATCCACTGTTACTAGATACGGAAGCCCGTTAAGCGTGAGCTTCTTCTGTTCCGTTAAGAACCACTTGAAACAATTTGAGGCTCATAGACTGGCGCCAAGCATAAATGGTACGGTAGCATCCCTCAGACTTTTGCTGTGTTCTTACGCAACAAAAGTACCATTCCCAATCTCAAGAACCTGTTTTGAGCTATACATTCGGTATATTACCTTTCTTTTTGAGTTTTATCCAACTTAATAGTTAACTGTGGTTTTGCCTCAGCTTATAAGCTCCCGACCCGAGCTCCCTCAAACATTGGTGGTCATTTGACTCCGGGACCGAAGCTGTCAATTTTGGGGAGAATTTGGCTCATTTTGGGGAAACTCGAGTTTCCCCGAAATTGAGAGCTTGGGTTTAAGCTTATAATTATAGCCTATAATTGTAGGCGGAAAGTAGACAATTCGGAGTGTATTTAGGCGAAGAAAGGACAATGTGGCGTATATTTAGGCGGAAAGTAGACAATTCAGCAACGATTGATTGGGTACTATTCGGTTCTTCAGCTTTTCACGTCATAGCTAATTTTAATGTATCCTAACCTTTTGCACCACCTGTTTTTATCCATTTTTACTTGTTTTTAGTGCATTGTTTTTTCACGATCTTCGGCTTTTTCTAGGGTCTATACAACACTTTACGTCACTATAGTCATGAAATTTCATGCAAACGACCCAGCTGCAGTTTTACTTCTATATCTGGCATGCAGTGCAAAGGTTGGTTCCACGGAGCGTGCACAGATCTCACAGTAACTGCTTAAAACAGACTCAGTAAGTCTGATCATAGATGGGTACGTGTCATGTGCAACACGGATGCTATGGTTTTTCTGAACATCATCATTGTCCTGTTAACAAGTCTGCGAAATAAGTTGTCAGGAACCTTGAAAGAAGTCTTAAAACGGGTGGACAAACAAAGACGCTCAATGAAAACAAGGAGATTAATCTCGACAGCGCTACTATCGTTGGAACATCTGATAACACTAGTGATGACATGCTGAAACTCAGCACCACCGTACCGTCGACGGTATTACACTCCATCAGCAGACTTGAATCTTCTAACACAGGATCCTTGAATGCAACGGTAATTCCCAAAAACTGTAGGTGATTGAACCCCCGTTAACAAAGTTAAAAATGAACAGGTGTCACCGTCTAAGAAGCTGAACATCCTAAGTATCGTAGGGAAACCTGAACGCACCCAAAAACCTGCGAAAACAATAACGGTTCGTGATGATTCTCTCGTAATCATGAATCTTAAAGAAAACCCTGACCTCCCCCTCAGTTTGCAGGACAAACATGACAGGATGCTCTGGGAAGAGTTAAACAAGAAGCCTGAACTTCCGAAAATAGAGGATTACCTACTAGCTAGTTACTTATTGAAATCAGATGGGAATGTAAGAATACTGCCTGACACCGTATTCTAAGGATAATCTCATCCGGAGCATCCCTAAGGAATCTCGTGAGTTTTCCCGCTGAAGAAATATCATCATGCAAGGTGTACCGGAAAACTCGGACCCTGACCACACAAAGTGATATTTGAGAATAGAAATTTATCAAGCAATCCTAGAAGCTCAAAAACATTGACTCAACAAGTGATGTGACTAGCCAAGAAAGATGGGAATTCTAGACCCTGGCTAATGAAGATAATCTTCTCATCCAACCATATGGCGGGTGCAACTTTGGGAGCATTTCGTGCCAACAGACATCGGTTGCCAACTAGAATCCATACGCATCCGGATAAGCCGCATGATGCCAGGATCAAGCACGAAGGCAAGTTGGAGCTGACCATTCCACTTGTAAGCTGTCTTGATCATAAAAAACGTGGAAAGGACAGGGGCTACCAACACGGGAAACCTTGTATAGGTAGGCTACCTGTCCATTTACATAAGGCTCATACAGACAAACAGGGTGGGGAAGCTCACGCGTTTCAAATTTAAAGCATAAACTGCTTATACACGAACACCGCGAGTTTGTCGAATAAAATGGATAAGCTACATGAACTCAGCTATGCTAATAATGCTTATCTGATATGAACATCTGAAACTTGATTATCTTCTCAGCTTACGGACCAGCTAGAAATACTCGGGATGTCTTTGTTTCGCAATGACAGAAAATCAGGAATTGTGGGTGGAGTAGCCTTATACTTACGATCCTGCCTGGAGGTACATCAAGTGCACAACCATGAGTTTATCAATGTTGATGAGTCCGTACGGTGCTCAGTGAGATTGTCTACCACCTTGAGGTGTCTAGTTGGAGTCATCTACAGGAAGCCCACTGCTAACATCGAGTACGACAATCGTATGCTAGAAGGATTATCCCGCTCTACTCGCCTCGGATTCACTCATATCTTGATTCTAGGGGACTTCAGTTTTCCTAAAGTCAATTTCGCGAAACATACGTATATTGGAGGTGGAAACTCTACTGAAGCTCGGTCTTACAACCTTATTGAGGGTCTGGGATTATTCGGAAATGTGACGTCGGCAACTCGATGGGGACTGGGTATTTACAAACGAAGAATTCCTAATTGACAATCATTTCTGGCTCCCCCAGCTAGGAGCGATCACGCCGTCACAGCCTTTAGTTCTATCAGTAAAACAGCTAAGACACCCCACCAACAACAGGCTCTGCTTGAAGTCACTAACTTCTAGTCTGAGCCATGTTGGTAGATGCAGACTACTTGGTTGGGGTCCGCGTGATTATCGTAACCAATGGTTGGAGACTCTTGGTGATATGGCTCAGAATCGATCACAATGACGTCGGTGTATACACTCTGTCTTCCCTTAAACTAAGAGATTAAAATCGCTTCATATCTTTCTTTCTACTAACTAATTCTTTCTTCCTGTACTGTATCCTTATTGCAGTCTTTCTTTTATATATTACCACCTCTGAATTAACTACTTTTATGAATCCGGTGTCCATCTTGTTGTGTTAATGAGGTATGGCAACTTGGACCGGTGCATATATGTGCCTGGTCCTACGTTGTAGCTGACTGACTCTGGAATTTTAAACGCTTGAATGTGTCAGCTTTACAGGACAATCTACAACAGGTGGATTGAGAAATTCACCCTCAACTAGATGTGGATGCTCATTGGGGTTTATTGCACACGCTCTTATGTGCTACAAAGCAGTCTGTTTCTCAAATGGTCCCCAAAATCTATAAGCAACCTGCAGTCATCAAGAACCACACTCTTCGTTTGGTAAGCCGCAAAAGGCACTGTTGGATGGAATACAAATGAACTAACAACAACGGCGCATATAAGCAACAAAACGTGTAAGGAACATATGTACAAAGGTAATAACAGAAGACAGGCTTCAGTACCAGATAAAGCTTATTGATAAATTTGTGTCCAATCCCAAAAGCTTATTCCGTCATACAGCCCGACCAACAACGACGGTGACGTCGCTAACCTGGCCGAACAGTACTCTCGGATATTTCAACCGACCCAAATGAACTATATTGATAAAAGCTTCATCTGCAACTGCACAGGACTTTCCTAAGTGAACCTGAGCGCTGGATTAGTGTACCAGAAACTGCAGCATTTCCTGATCCGGATATGGTTCACCCTGCTATACTGAATGAAGCAGCTTCAATCCTGACAACACCGCTTAGCGTGGTGTTCTCATACTCGCTGAACCGAGGCACATTACCGGAAACTTGGAAGCTGGCTCACATCACACCAATTTTCGAAGGATGTCGACGCAGTGAACCTTCAAGCCACCGACCGGTGGCTCTTTTCTCTATCCCTTCAAAAATTATGGAGTCTCTGATATGCGATGGTATACGCGCCTATTTATTATTTTTAAACTTTTCACCTCGACAGCACGGTTTCGGGAAGGGTCATTCTTGTATAACCAACCTGCTGATTGCAGTGGACAGATGGACAACCATCCTTGATCGCAAGGGAAAGGTTGACGTCGTTTACCTTGAATTCTCAAAAGCTTTTGATAGGATCAACCATATATGTCTTAGCAATAAGCTCGAACGATTAGGTATCAAATCACCCCAACCAATCTGAGGTTTGTGTTATTTCTGATTGTTGTCGATTGCTTCTGTTATTGAACGTAAGTGCGTTGTGTGCGCTCGGTGAATCGTTGATTTACCTTTTTTTGTTTTCCAGCCTTTCTCTCGCTACTCTGCATCCTCCCCTAGTACACAAAGTGCCTTGTGGCTAAATCCGAACCTTTACATTATTTACACGGTTGCTTGTATTTCTGAATGCTATTTATTGCAACATTTCGGCACGTTTGCATTGCTGCCTCATCACTCCCAGCAGGTGCATTGGTAATATGTGTTCTATTATGTTTGGCTACAAATTCATGCGTCCAGACTCATTGCACGGTAAATTTATTACAACGAAAACTTTAGTTTTGTAGGATGCCAATTTTCTACCGTCCCTAAGCGCTGCTGTTGGCAGCAATGAACCTCAAAAGACGATATGGATCATATCGATTCTTATTAGTTCGGCTTGGAGGCTGTTGATTCTATTAAATAGTTACATAAATTCCCGTAAATTCAATTCATTCTCAGGCGGTCATTTATCCCTTTCCAATTTGCCATATCTATCAAGTTTTATTGAAATATTTTCACTCAATATGCTTAGCATTGTTTCTTCATCTGATAACTACAGTGAGCGTCAACTTTACAACAATTCCTTTCAGTTCAGCACCGCAATTACTTCTGTGCCTTTGCTTTGTTCTCGGTGGTCTACATGATAACAGATGTTTACGTATTACAACTTAAGCTTAAAACAACTGAAAATGCTTTTCTGGTAAGAATAATTTAACCCCATTTCTAAAAACAACTTAACTTGATTGCCAATAATGAAATATGTATCATGTTCTTCTATTCGGTCTTGCCAGTGATTTAACTTTGAGAATTTCATCCGACGGTGTTGTCATTTAGTTGAGTGGTTTGCTCACGTAGTTAAGCTATTCATTTAGCGAATATATTGTTTGGAAGTTTATTGAGCGTAATTAAAACAACGAGTCTGGTATTATGGGTGGTGTCCATAGAGATGTTCCATATTTCCTACTGATTGACTTCCAGGCTACAGTGATGATAATAAAGTGCTAGGTAACATTAATTTAATACTTCTCGAATAACCGGATAGTGAAAAAGGTCTCGAAATACCAGGGTGTGAATATTCCTGTCGTGATTTTCGAGTTTCTATGAGTAGCTAGCTATATATGAATGAAATCATCTAGTGTACGAGACCTCGATATAACTTCCCAACATACTGTTAGACAGTTAGCACAAGAAGGAGAACACCAAATTCATAGAAGCAGTTACTTCAGTGGTAGTAATATACAGAAGGCGACTGCATATAAGAGTATGATACGGGAGGAAAGAATTAGTTTGTGGAAAGAAAGGTATAAATTAATTTTAATCTCACGGTTCGCTCGCAACTGATATTTCCCATTTTGCTGAGGCGTGGTTGCTTGGGCAGGTATACACTCCCACCAACACCTATGTTTTAGACGGTCGATTATCCAGGACATATTTATGAAGTATAATTTACCTTGGCAATTACCTTCTTTGTACAAATGTGTACTAAGCCGCTTTCAACGTCACTCTATGGATGTAACGAGTTTCTGATGTAAGTTTAACTAACACCCAGGTAAGGTTTAAAAACATCGAGAAGATAATTTTAGACTTAACGTTCAAGTTTTGCTTTCACAAATTAAAGTAACATCTGTAGCTTTCAGTAAACTCTGAACACACATCAACTTGGTCTAAAGTATTTTCGTGATTAAAACTGAAATGCTGCCAATAATGGGTTTTTATAAACACGTTTTTCATGTGGTTGGATTACATTGTATACGTGTGAACAAAATACGTTGAAGGTGAGGCACAACGAAGTCGAAAGCGCTTGTAGGAGGTAATATACCTGAACTTTTAGTTATGAAGAAGTGTATGTTATGGCTAAGTTTTCGGCTTCTTAACTTCCAACCGTGTATACACATGTCTTCTTGAATCATTTGCTTTACATAAATGTTTCATGCACCTATATTTTACTATCTAAATATACCGATGATTTCATCGTTTTCCAGAGTAACATATTACGAAAGAAGATATATCTTATGGCGTTCTACTTAATTTGTTTGTTGATTGATGGACTGTGTTATTGGATTCACATGACATTTTGTCCTCCATATGGTACGTTTAATAAACTACAGTACCTATCTAATATTTTAGTTATTTTATTCATCGTAGGGAAAATTCTCAATAGTTTTCTCTGTGTAGTGTGAATGTAGATTTTTTATTTAGGAGCTCAGTGATACCAAGCGCTTTTAAATGAGCATAATTTCCATTTCATCCGGTTAATTGCTCAACCTAACTGGTGTTACCAATTTTTGACTACCAGTTGATAAGAAGCAACGCGGCGAACAGATTTTCAATCTGAATGTGAGAAAATGGTTCTCTTAATACTAATATGATGTTTAGTAAGGACCGTAAAACAATCCAGAACTGTGTAGTAATCTTGAACTTTTTTACGAAGTTAATTCACTGGCTAACAAATTTACTGTGAACCTTGAAACTACGTAGTTTACTCTGTCCATTTGAATTTATATCCATGGATATTCATGATATGAGTAATCACTTCTAAGAGAGGAAAGAAGCTCCAGGAGTTGATAGGTTCTCCCAAATGGCGTAGTTGAGTGGTATCCGTGAAAGTACAATCATATTTATAGTGGATATACTTTAAAATCAAGTCATTAAACACAAACGTTTGTGGAACAGCCTATACCTAAAAATAAACTACCTTTGTTGAGTTTATTAAAAGCCAAATACAAACCGGTATTTGCCGGATGTGTTATGTGCTCCCTGGATAAAACTTATACAATCTGAAGAATACCAAACTGCCTCGCAGTCTCGAATGCTACACTATATTTACAGAGGCGTGTGCAACTTGTCTACTCGCTTTATCGTACGAATAGCTTTAATATTTTCATTCAAAATTCACAAGTAAATTCTGATCCGTTATTTTAGTAACAACTCATCCATCTTTGATGTTTCTATTCTAGCTTATACTATATTTTCTGCAGTTGAATATGCTGCAATATTTGCAAACATTTTTTATCACTATACAACCTCCAGTACATTTGAAGATATATCAGTGAGGAAAATGATCATTTACTTTTCCACCGGTCGAACTATTCCGTTCGTCAATATGAAGTCAGAACTACCATTGTTGGAAGTAAAATGAATAATTGTTTTTCAAATAGAATTTTATTTAATTCGCTATCATTCTTATGTACGTGAGATTATACAACCCATTAAATTACATAAAGCATATTTTGTTAACTGTATAGTAACGTCGATGAAATACAAAATTTCATACAATCTAAGTGTATATGTGTTACGTCATTGATCCGTTTGCCCACTAATGTACAGGAGAGAATTGTCTCAACCTAGTTTAAAGTCTTGAGGCTGGAGAATGCGTGAGTTCAATTGTGGCTGGAGGGTGTTGAGAACAGAGAAAAGAAAACCTGTATAGCTGACCTATTACCTGATTATTAGGTTAACAGGACAGGAAAGAGAAGAATTGGACGGAAAATTACTCGATTTACTCTTGATCTAGTTAGATGTATGACTAGAAAAACTACAACTCACAACAAATAAGAAAAACACAGTTTCGTCCAGTCTAGGGCATTAGAGTAGAAAAATGGGGTGCAAACGTTACGTCAGAATTCCAGTAATTTTGGAATAGAAAAGATTACAGTGACATATACGTTACACGAAAGCTTCCAACATAAAATAAAACAGGGACAAATGTTAGTACTTTAGAGACTTTGAACTAAGTGAAGCGATGTCCTAGGAAATGGCTTCCGTTGTTCAATATCGCTTTTCTATTTCTCTTCACATCAATAAGTTAACACTTAACAATAACGCAATAGGAACATTAACTACTAAGTATCAGTAATGATCTAAAGTATGATAATAAACTGAGACATGTAAACAAAAACAAGTTGAAAGATAAGTTTAGGGAATTCATTATTTGTAACAGCATAAAGAGTAAAGATATCTCTACCTTCAGTCATTATATGATGCTTACAATCGCTGTATTTTTGTGTCCATTTTAACTGGCAGTAGACGACGACCGGGCGAACTTATACTAATAAAACGTTTTTTCGTCGTTTCCAACTATCCGCCTTACTCATGACCATAGTTTGTTGTGGTCAGTATCTTTACAAACCATTTTCACAAAGCATTTAAATGCTACCAAAGCTTGTTAAGGAAACATAATAGTTAAAATACAACTATGGTTGATTAGCTTCTCTAGTCGATTGGATTAATTCAATTGGAGTACTACAATTAGACGGTGCATGTGAACATTAATCAGTAGGCTAATAGCATGACGGATTAAGATGAATAAATATCAGCAAAGTTATTATTAATATAAGGATAAATTACATTTTGTGATTTAGTGTTTCCTGCGGATGTAGAATCTAGGTCTAGGCCTATATTAGTGCACGTATTTATGCTTCCAGAATGGCTATTATCCGATAATGTGGACTTGTCATGAAGTGACTACTTAGTCGATGAGGTCTTGCGTCGAAGTCACTGTCTGTAGTGACTCATCTTGAAAGTCAGCGGATCTTTTCAAGAACTTCTAGAGAACACATTCCGGTCGGAGATAGAATTATGTACCTAATTTAAAGAGCAAGGGAATACGTAGAATGATTACGCCTGCATGCTCTAGTCATGTAGTTCCTATCAAGTATTTCTACCTTCACCTTTTTCCTACCTCCAAGTGTTAGACAGTCGATCGTTATATTCGCGTCACTTAATATTTATACTTGAAAACGAGGAACTGCTAAAATACTCAAGATGTGAAGTAAAAACAAGAAGACTGGTACAGGTGAAAATTTACTTATCCGAAAAACACGACGACCCTAATCGAAGATACACTTGTTTATATATTGATTTGTACATCCATTAAATACGAAGATGTCATATGTGAAATGAAGACGGAATTGCATGCTGCATATCGTTCGCGTCAATCCAATACAAAAAACATATCTTGAATAGACATCACACTACAATAAATCAATGTTATGGTCAGTAAAATGTCACATTACAATCAAGCACAAATATTACGGTGAGTAGTCATATTGGATTAAAAACAGAAGTAATGTTGAACCAAAATCACAATGGGCTAAGGACGTGGTTCCGCCTTTTCGTTCCGCCATATCACTAATATAAATCTCATTGTATCTTTAAGGATCATGCGGCTAGGAACCGGTCTCATTACATCCCCTTTTAAGGACGAAACCGAACTGAGTCAGCAAATAACCCTAGTCACGTTCAGCCTAATAATAAAACTAAAATCGCTACTTTTGCGTAAAAGATTGACATTAGATTTGGAATATTTAGATGACCCCCTGGGTGTTCACTGTGAGAGACTTAGATTTTACAAATGATTGGATTAGGCTCTTTAGAGGAATATAAATTTCTAGTTGACGCCTTTTGACACTAAAATAAACTTCGAGCTACACAAGTTTACGTCATTTCTCTAAATTTGATACAGACTGCTGATAGGAACTACAAAGCTCCAGGATATGATTGGAGAATTCCAAAACTTGGCCAAATCAAATCCTCAAGCTTATGAAAATAAGCTAAAAGTAACACATTAAAATGAACCCATGCCTGTGTTTCCAAGAGATTAGCTCCTGATAAATCTAAGATCGCTAAACCTGAACTTGAACTAAGTTAGATTTGGATACTATCCATTCCTCTGTAAGCCAATGGACATCATCTCTACAGATGGAGATTACAGAGTCCTCAGCCGTCACACTATACCAGCTAGGTATCCAGAGCCAACTGCTACTGATTTTACGTAGTCTGAAAGGTTTGACTACATATACTGAGACCGACAGTCAGAGCATATCACGATATCCCAGTAGCTGAGGATGAAGTCTTTACAACAACCATTACCACACCTGGATCGTTCGAGTTCATTCAGTTGTTATTCAGTCTCAGAAACGGCACGATCATTTCAAGGGTTTATGAACATTTTATTTCGAGATGTGCTTTTCACAAAAGGATGTACCGAGGACTTATCAACCCCATATTCATTTAAAATTAAATACAGAAAATGCGAGAACCGTGTTAAGCGGAAAAAGTAATGAACGTACACCAAAGTAATTGTTTCCGGACTAATAAGATGCCCAAACAGAAACACATCAATTAAAAAAATAGATAGGGGCTATTCATGAATAGCCCCAAAATCCCCTAAACTTCCCAATCTCAAAATTTCCCCAGGATCTCATGACACTTTTGGGAAATCGGCCTATATTTATTAATAAAACCCCAAAATTCCCCCTTAATTTGGGTTTTTTCTCCAAAATTTCCCATGAATTTTGCGTTTTTCCTCAAAATTTCACAATAATCTCACTATAGTTCTTGCAAATTCGTTTTAACGCAATAATTCTCAACAAATTCCTACAGATATCAGGGAAAAGCCAGGCGAGAATAACCACCTAGTTTTTACTCCGATATTCCGTTATTTTCATTCAATTACGCAGTGCCAAAGAAACTTAACGTTAATTGATCTATCGGTGTAATTAAAAGACTGATTCGTGACACATTCAAATGTTTATTACGTTTATAAAGTTAAAAATCATTCATTAATACATATTCTCTTCACTGCTTAGTAGCCTAAGCACGTTGAACTATCATTCACAATGTTCTACAGAAATAAAAATATTCTTAAGTTTACAAGCAAATATCGTGCTATGTAAAATGTCGATGACGTACCAACGGTATAACAGTGTTGTCAATAAAGCGAACAAAAAGCTTACAGTTACGTCTGTTAAAACTTGCGAAGCCAGCTGAAAATAAGATGGACAAGAAGTAATTGTTTTAGTAAAAATGTTTATCAAAAACTAAAACATTAACAAAAATCGGTTTCTAATCAAACTTCCAAAGTGCATATAGCTCACCCTTTCTTTGTTTTGCGATTCCCCGACGATATGGTGTAGCTTCATTTATTAACAAGTTTTAGATGACGAAATGTCCCCCCCCGATTCATCTTTCAATGAAAGAACAGCTAGACAGCGTTGTAATTGGGATGATGAAAGGAGGTGACATAACGGTGAAAAAAGCTAACGAAATTTTGGACCCTTTCCAGGTGTACCTTTCCTACTAGTAGGTGCCCGTAATCAACTGATTGAAAACACCTGGGGACTGAATGCGTTATTCTTAAAAAGACTTTACACCCAGAAACGAGATACTTCACATTCGGATAGGAACTTACTGCGATTTACCTATGCAAGAATTACACTACTTATTTTTAGCTTAGAAGTTGTCTCAATCTGAATCAGCTGTAATCACTTATTGAGGGTAGTTTGGTCTGATGTGATACGACCAGCCAGATGGAATTACGTCCAGTTCCCAAATTCTGTCTAAGACCTCAGTCTACCTCACTGCTAATACTGGACCACCATCCTTAAAAATCTCAGGAGTAAACCTGTCAGGGCCTGCTGCTCTCCCTCGCCATTCAGGTTTACTGGAGATCGTGGGAAACCAAAGTGTGGCTGCAGACCAATTGAACTGATCCCTAAAATGTTCTACACATCGATCCAATCTCCTAGATTGAGAATGTATAATATGTTCGTCTTTTTCTGAGATAGTTTCGCTAACAGTCGGGTTCCTAATACCGGTTTCCCACACTTTGCTTCATACTGTGGCGAAAACAGTTAAGTTGTAAAACAATGAACCAGTTTGGTTAGAAATTTCGTAAACTTATTGTTGAGATTTAGAGTTAGGAGTAAAAGTAGAACAGATAACTCACTAATCTTATGGATGCTGACCAACTAAGGCCGATCATACGAAGCTCGAAATGTCCTAAAGTCTTGTGAGTTGCTCAGTTTTATTTTTTTTACCCTGAAAATTTTACAGTTTTATACTCTTTCATATCCTTTGATTTGCTAGTAGTCCTTACCATCTTTAAACCACATATAATCTAACTTGTATTTTTTTTTACCTTTTACCATTAGTTATCTTCATAGGAGTGTGACATCTAACCCATAATACAAATGCGTTAACCATCTGATTTGCTCGTAACATTAAATTAGTAGAGACAGTGTATTCCAACTATGGGCTTTGATTAAAGGATTATTCATACTTACCACAAATCTAAGAGAGCCTAACATAAAAAAAGAAGGAAGGGTGGCGTTACTAACCAGCAAGCATGATGGTGGG